AGCTACGTTACAGGGTTAGGCTAGAAAGGTTAGGTAAAGTAGTACCAAGGGGGGAACTACCACCAATACCCTTTCCCCGAACATTCTTTAAACAAGAGCTACCAAATAGCGATATTGACCCTACATTTCGGTTATTTTCGGACGAAATTCTCCGCATACTTAATCACTACCAAAAACGAAAAAGAAAAAGAAGCTCGAACCTCACAAACCAACAAAAATGTGGTATGCGCCAGTTTAGAGAGCTTTTGAATTCAAAATCTATTAGACTTTCTATTAGTGATAAAGGCGGAGAATTTGTAGTTCTTCCTAGTCAGTTGGATATTAGGATAACAGTTGAGCACCTCAGTGATGTTTCTCTCTATCGAACATCCTCTGAAAAGGAATACAGAAATCAATACCAAAAATTGAATCAAGAATGGGTCAGCACGGCAAAGGCCGCGGGTTTAGAGCCTTCAGTAATTTCTCAACTTAAGAACGAATACCCGATTTGCCCTGTCCTTTACTTGCTTATTAAAACACGTAAGCTTACTTCAGCTGATGATATTACGTCAACGAACCCATCATCATATAAAGTTAGACCTGTCATCAGTTGTATAGGCGGGCCAACGGATAGAATAACGTGGTTTCTAAACCTTATCCTAACCCAGCTGCTAAAATTCATTCCAAACCATCTACCTAACACCAAAATATTTCTAGATCACCTAAGGCGCGCGGAACCAAACAGCACGCATATAATGGAGTCATTCGATGTTAGTTCACTTTATACCAACGTGTCCAACGACTCCGCAATGCAAGCCATTCTCGAGTTGCTCGTAGAGCATGAAAAGAAAATAAAAATGCACGGCTTGTCGATTGCGCAACTAATGACCCTCTTAAAACAGTGTCTTAGTTGTTCAATCTTTAGGTGGTCTGGAAAATATTTTGCACAAATTAGAGGGTTGGCGATGGGGCAGCGTTTAGCACCAAGTCTTGCCATCGCTTTCATGTCTAAGGTGGAAGCTCCAGTTCTCGATCACCGACCCTTACTCTACTGTCGATACATAGACGACTGCTTCATCGTCTGCTCCACACAAGAACAGATGGATGAGTGCTTTGAATTGATAAGCAGGCAGTCAGAGTATATAAATTTCATGCGGAAAAAACCAGCCGAGAACTAGCTTCCATTCTTAACCGTCAGTATCTCCCATGACCGACTTTCTATTAACTTCGGCATTGATCAAATTATTCTTCGTATTCTTGTTGAGCAAACGCGAAGTGTTACTTTCATTCTTTATTCACGAATAAGCTGACGTTTCGGCGGATTTCGCCTTCCTCAGAGCCTGGAAAGGTCAAGTTGACTACAATCTACACTGCCAAACACCTCCATAACCAAACAGAGAAAGCGCTAAACCAAGATTTCAATCACGTTGAACACAGGTTTCCACACTCACCATTTTCTATGAGGCTTCCACTGAGTATGTCGCATGAAGACCAACCGCACAGAATTCACATGGAAGCGTAATGTGCCCCTCGCATCAGAATAGCAGTCTTATATACTGCCCAATATCACGCGTGATAACGAGGCATTCTTCCCTGCGGTTCATTTTCGGATTTCTGGAATTATGCAATTTTGCGTTGCACACAGACGGTCATATAGGCGGTTACGAACTAACTGGCGCCTATGGGTACTCGGCGGTATTTCAACATCGTTTACCGAATTCTTTACAGCCGCCCATCTTAAGCAGCGTTTTATAGCTGCACTTACATCATTTGAGATGAAGGGTAGGATAAACGGGACCTTTTTATCGCTAGAATTGTCGTTTGGGGGTCTAGGATCTCCTCTACGCCTATCCCGAGCTACAGTTTCGTAGCCATTAGAAATGGCTATTTGCCGCGCCAAGTTCCGGGACTCTTCTCTCTGCTCTCTTCCCGTGCACACGTTGGTTGCTGTTTGAAACATTTCTTACAAGGTCCCTTTTCGTGTGAGAGAGGTGAGAGGAGTGGTAATGAACCAAGATGTTTCTACTACTTGGCTTTCGATACCACTTTGTAATGTAGCCATTTTCTGACAGGTGAATTTGGACGTTCAGGAGTGGAAAAATACCTTGGCATGACATCAAATGCTGAGTGCTGGAACATCTAGATATGCTATGGCGCGTCGTAAAAGCAAACTAAGGATTCTGTACACTTCCGTATTGGTTATATATATATATATATAATAACAAAAGATGAAGCTCTCGGCGTTGGTCTATCCCTGAGAGATGGGCCACGCATTCGACTTCATTAAGTATCGCCGGAGGTAGTTGAATGCATATCTGGCCTTTACAATGCTTCGCAGTGGTCTGCCGATGCATCAAACTAGTGCTGCTACCCACGCAGAGTACTCTGGTACCAATTTGCTGGCACCCGAAGGGATCGAGGGCCTAGTGAGCCTAGGGCGCGCGGGGTTCGCAGTCCATGTATACTGCAAGGCGCTTCCGAGCACTGCGCTTTCGGAGCCCTATAATATATATATATATGTACGTATATATATATATATATATATATATATGTATATATGTAAAGGATCCACTTCATAGGAATAAGTTGGCACGATTATCTTTTCAATGACTAGATTCGTTTATACAGTTATAATGACGAACGGTAGAAGCAGTCTCCGTACCCTCCACATATTCTATAGCCTCTGAGCATAGTGCATGGATTGTAACATAATGCATTCTGATTAGGAACATTTTATTAGTAAAATACCACCAATATTGTTCCATGGGAAACCAGGCTTTCAGGAATAAGGAGGAGTACTGTAAATCAAACACAGATCAATATGTGAAGCCAAATATAACACCCATTATTCAAAAAGAGCAATCTTGTTATTAGCACTCATAATGGAAGAGTAGAAAATCAGAAAGATAGCTAAAATGTTACAGCTCCTAATATTAAACGTGGAAATGAGGTCGAGATGATTGAGTGCCACTTGATGATCGCGCCTGAAACTACAACGACGTCAATCCAGAAACTTCTAAGCATTATAATTCTCGTTTTCCAAAGAAACTTGAGTAGGCTAGGACAAGTGCTCTCGATGCCTATTCGGTTGCGGTAAATAAAACTTATGTACAAAAAACAATTACAAAGGAATCGCACAGTGCTTAATGATCCTGGACGACTGTTACTGCTAGACATCAACCTTTCCACCATAGTTTTCACATATCGAAGACGAGTAATAAGGGCCTGGAAATGGAAAAAAGAGAGGAAAATACAGTGAGAAGATGAACTATTAAACTCAAGAGTACGAGAACACCCGTTTAAAGAAAATTCGTTACCTTTGTACATCCATGACTTTCTAAATGAGACAATTTATAAACGCGAAAATTTCGCTGTTCATCAATGTATGTAACAGCTCCCATTAAAGGGCATACAATCGTCTTCGTATGGTCCTATAAATCGAAAATATTCTGAAGTTCAGAAGTTTTGTAAATAAAGGAAATGACCCACTTCGAAGAAGTTTATTTGTAGGGTTCCATTTGAAAGATGCAATACAATTGCAGATCGTGTACGGAACCAATAACGTAATACAGGAAGACGCGCTAAGTCATCTCCATCCTGAAACATAAATCAGATGGGACTTCCTTCCTGAACCAAATAATAAAGAATAAAGCTCTCTGCATTGATCAATCCGAGGATTCCGCCATGCATTCGACTTCGTAAAGCATCTTTAGAGGTAACTGAACCCATATCTGCCCTAGGGACTGACTCTTGGGGGCATACCGAAATATCGAGTCAGTGTGCTATCTTCCAAGACGGTTTTCCATCAGTTTTCCGACCCGGAGGGAATGAGAGGATTAGTGAGCCTGCGGCGTCCGACTGAACCCATGTGTACTACAGGGCACCTCGAACCAGTGCGCGGTACGTACCCCTTTCCAGTTCCATACAGAAACCCCACCTTTTTAGCCACGTTTGCTCCAGCTTTTATAAGATGCTCATTCATATAAGATCGGAAGTACTTCAACAGAGTTACCTAAAATGAACATTATGTTCAATGTAGTAAATAAGATACAAATAATTAATGGTAGATTGAAAAGTCACTCACTTTCTTTGAAAGGAAATCCGGGTAAGACTCTATGCCATAGTAATTCTCGGTTTCATTTTTTTCTATATACGTTAATTCACTGCCAGCCTCATCCAACACTAACTTCGAACTATCGTTGAAGAGTACTCCTACCTGTAAGATGAACTAATCCGCATAGGCGGTGAAAGAGGAGAAAATATGTAGTTGATCACCAGAGGTTATGCGATTTCAGTTATATTTTACAAAATTTGTCTTCCTATCCACAACAAATCTTGATAAACCTAATTCAAAGATATTTTCTCGCCAAATACAGTGAGAATAAAGAGTGTCACATCAAAAATTTTTAATGGTTTGGGTGTTCAGCAAAACAGCGGCACGAGTAGAGAAGCCTGGCGTACGAGTGGGACAAACGAGAGTTTCACCGGTGTCCGAAAGATTAAATATCGTGCAGACGATGTTAGGGAGTGGGACTGCATACGATGGGAATATAGCAAATGTATGCAGTATTTAAATAAATAAACTGTTTAAAAAATACACCAAAAAAATTCCTTAACTGCAATAATGCTGAGACATTTGCAAAACTTGGACCGTAGGCCACATTCCCTCTAGCAGTTACCCTTTCTGCAGCTCACATTTTACCCACCGCACCGCTTCCGCCCTTGTTTGCCTTTCTAACAGCCAGTTTTTACCCTAGCGATGCCATCAGCAATCGCCCATCAATAGGAATGATCTGGGAATAACAAATCGGCATTGAACTCAGTATTGATGGCACCGCAAGACAAGAAAGTGGTTGACAGAAAGGTAAAGCAAGGCCCTCAGTGGTACAGTGGGTAATACGAGATAAAAAAAGGATAAAACTCTCGGCGTTGATCAATCCCTGAGAGATGCGCCATGCATTCCACTTCAAGGCTTGGTGGGCTATGGGCGCGGAAAACGATTCCACGTGTGTGTCGAAGTGGCGCCTCCAACCACTGCACCGCCCGCGCCCTGGGTAACATGGGAGCGCCCGAAAATGGTAATCGCGAGTTCGAGTCTGGCCTGATGTTCAACTTTTGCAATCATTGTGGTTGCATTTCACATAACACCCTGCCGTGAAGAAGTAATAGACAGTAAATAAAAAGTCACGCACTCCTTAACTCCTTAGTCAGATACTAGTCGCAATGTAAATGTTGCTTCAAAAAAGTGACAAGAGTTACACGAGAAGCAAAGAAATCATATGTTTTCAGGTATTTTTATAAGAGATGGACAACTCTGTGCTATATTACTTTGTCTAACTTGATTAAAACGACGAGTTATGTGCGTGCGTATACAGGCCTCTGTTTGTACCTGTGTAATAGATCACTTCGAGTCTATCGAAAAATAAGCTTACACCATTTACACGACACCATAGCAGAATCGTGGTAAATCTAACCATGAAGACAGTTCTTGAGACGCCGTAGACACAAGATTCCAAACGCAGCAAAACTTTAACCACAAAGGAGATTAAGTCTGTTTTGTGTTAACGTGAAGGAAAACTATCGCAAACGACTGCTACAACCTGCTAGCCGAAATGAAACCTCAGAAGGCTAGTACCGTCATCCACATTTCGCTTGTATGCATAACAACACGTACCCCCTACTTGAGGAATAGAAGGAAGTTACATGACCCTCATGAAAATATACACGGCCCAATATTTCTTGGAAGCTTAACAAACCAAGTAATTGAAGAGAATTGATCATGTTAAGTGTTAAAAAAGGATTTCTTCATAATTCGAGAAATGTAAACCAAAGGTACGGGAAATAAAAAGAATCTGAGCTGAGTAGTGATACTCATTTCAGATTTATTTGGCAAATATGGAATTACCGAGTTATCACAAAGTTGGTAACCAATCCCATATTTATCGGAGTAGTCCACCCATTTGCTAATCCAGAAGATAGGCATGGCCTCCGGTGCCTCATCTTCCACCTTTAATTCTCGCTAAAAACATGACTGCTCAGTGATAACATCGGAAATTTCAATTCCCAGAAATCATAAGATTACTCACGTCGGGTACACGAGCATTACAAAGTGAAGAAATCTGCTCGTATAACTCGGACAAAAATCCATCTTCTGGTACTTTTGCAATACCGACACCTATGTAAGCGCAGTGTTATTTAAAAAAAAGAAAACGAGGAGCTCTTAGAAGAAAATGATCCTTGCAGAAAGAACTACAACTAATTAAAGACGAAATCCTAGAATCTCCTAACCTCTGTCTATACGGTCTCCATCGATTACTTTATTCTCTGGCACAGCATTTAGAGCACGAGATTGCACTGACATTAGATCCTGCCTGAACAGTAACAGTGTTCTACATCGCTAAGCTGACACAAGCTTGGTATACAAACTGTTGTCAGTAAAATATACCTACCTAGTGTCAGCTCAATAATCTAGAAAATCATTGGATATACTTATCGATGTCTAGTGTAAGTCGGTTTTCAAGACTGTTCCCTCTCTATATTTTACAAATGAAAAATTTTTAAAGATCAGTACCACGTACTTAACTATCTGCTTAGGACTCAGTACGCCTGGAGGTACTGCGCGTCGATCCAGTGAAACAGGAAGACCGACCTAAAAATGGCATAATGTACAGAGCTCACATTGATAAAGATGCTACCATCCACAAACCTCGCTATGCCTATTGAACTTTGGCGCCATTGTAAGGCAGGAAATCGGAAGGCGAGTAGGCATGAAGCCAGAACGGAAGAAATCATGTGCTAGCACCTTAAGTAGTAAAATCAATAAGTATAGAGAGGAGAGGGCGGACAACATCCGTCAATCCACGAACAGATGTCGCCTCGTTCGTGCTTCCCTTCACCACTCCATTGCACAAAACAAGGAGGGCAAGACAGACTGCTGTAGCAGATTTGTTACGAGGTCAATGGCTTATCACTCGCAGATGACTATCGTGATAACCATAATCGAAGCCAAAGCGCATCTTTGCAACCTCATTGTGTTCGGCTACTGGACGTGTAAAGTACAACATCGATGTGAACTCAGTCATGAAAGAAGACAACGACCTATCGGTAAACTAACTCGTTTGAAAGTACGAACAGATGAACATACAATAATACTAACAAATTCAAATACATCCCAACAAAGGAGAAACAAAGTAAACCCTGCCTGTTTCACAGTAGGTCTTTTTGCTGGGTCGGGAGCTAGCAGGTTCTGGATGAGATGAGTAACAGTTTGGCCGGCAGTAGAAGGAAGTCGATACTGATTCATTTTGATACGGCTATAGGTCTCCTGTGAAAATCCATGTGTAGACTTGAGTGTGCATTTAGGCAAGTCTAGAGAAGAATAGAGCCAGTAAACCTTCAATGACTTCGTTTCAAATGGCGGACGACCAAAAAGAAGCGTATACAAAATGCATCCAATAGCCCAAATGTCGACTTCAAAGGAATGACCCTTCTTGTCAAGGACTTCGGCTAAAAGAGTACTTCATATAGCGTTCAAAATCCGGAAGATTCCTGAAAGTGTTCACAACTCACGAGCAATGTAGTTTGGGGTTCCACACAATGTTTTCTTGCGTTCTCCATCCATATCAACAGTAGTTGCAAGGCCAAAATCACCAATTTTGACCTCAAAGGTAGTTTATTGAATGCAATAAACCCTATAAATCCAACAAACTTTCAAAAGGGAGAAAAGTGGAGAACCTGTAGGTCCCCATTGAGGAATAAGTTCCCGAGTTTCAAATCGCGGTGGATCACATTCTTTTCGTGCAAATACTCAACAGCCAAGCAGACCTTGGTTATAATATTAGAACTGGATTCCCACTACACTTAACGAAAAGGCAGTACTAACCTGATGAGTAAAGTAACGCGCCTCCGGTTCAGTCACTGATCTTCTTCTCTTGTGTAGTTCCATCAATGAACGCCGAGCACAAAGTTCCAAAGTGATATACACGTTGTCGTTGTCTTCGAAAAAGTTGTAGAGCTGCACCACATGAGGATGACTCAAACTACGATGAATATGCACTTCCTGCGTCATCTGTAAGTAGTGAATTCAGAACAGAAAACTCTCACGAAGCATTTTAACGGTAGATATACAAACTTTTTCGCGTTGGTACTGTTTGACGAGCAACGTCTTCGAGACAATCTTCCCAGCAAACACCTCATTCGTAGCGGAATTAGTCAGCTCGTAACACCTCGCGAATCCTCCTTTGCCCAGAAACTTACCACGTATATAGGTAACCCCATGTTCCGTGTCAACAATTCGCTCAGGAACTTCTTTCAGCGGAGCTTTTTCCATACCTTGTTCCCCAAAGTTCTAAATTTCTGACTATTATAAAAGTGGAAAACTGGGTGATATACACGAAACGACGGAGCTAAAGATTAGTAAAATTGCAAAGGATAAAATCACAATAAATCATCGAAACGAGTTCGCTCTATGAAGACTGCAGAAAAGTGAAGATTTCTGATTATTCCCGCCGAAATAATTTAAAGGGCGGAAGTCATTGCCATTGGAGCGCCAGGTGCAATGCTAGTGAAGTACGTCTGATGGCGTCACCGTAGAGATGAACGGTCGTGGAGATTTCAAGTGTGTATTGTGTTAGGAACTAGATACCTTCGTATTCATCACCTAGAAAGGAATTGCAAGAATGGTACATTTCTTGATTCATAAGGAAGATTCCTACGAACACCTTGGGAAACCGTGGATGTAGACTCTTAGGTAGCTTTCGACATTTCTATAGTACTTTTTAATGAAACGAGGGATAGTGTTTTTCTACGCTCCTTTAGCTCCACTAAACCTACCTTTTCGATCTCTTTCTCTCCGTCTCTCTCTCTCTTTCCCTCTCTCTATCTCCCCCTCTCCCTCGATCCCTCAATATCTGGTTTTCTATCGGTTTTGTTCGAGAATTTTCCCCCCAAAAAAATTTCCCATTTAGTGTAGTCATTAAAGCCAATGTATATCCCTAGTATGATAGACCTCAATTAATGCAAATTACCTGCAATTAGCAGCTGGGTTAGGTGGTGCGTCTCCAGGTGGCAAGTGGAAGTTCCACAAACACCAAAGATGACCCGTATGCTTCAACTGGGACGCACTCAGATTCAGGAGAAAACAAGTTGAATGAAAGAAGTGCTGAGATGAAAAGCAAAGTAAAAAATAAGGATTATGAATAGAAGAACCGTGATTTCATTGTTATCTGCTGTCAAATGACAAGTCCTGCTTGTTGAAACAAGATTTGCTAGAATATCGTATTTGTTTTTGACCACAGGGGCAGCACGTCCTTTCGATGATCGATTGTCGCATGTTTATGAGTAGTACTGCTCTCAGCACAATTCGCAGTCGTTTCCTTCATTGGTGGTCGTCGTTCTCGGTGATCGTTTGCATTGAGGTTGGTGGCGCTTGCTGGCGGCATTCTATGATCTACCAATCAATTTGAGACGCAAAGGTAGCTAGTGGATGATCGACTCATGCGGCGTGATATTTACCGTAGTGTTGAAACCGAGGGACTTATCGGACGTTCCAACTACGTAGTCCACCTTAGTTCTATAAGTAGGTATTTTATTTCGGAAGATATCATGTCAACGCGTGTAGAACAGTGGTCGGAGGCGCCCTGTAATACACATAGCATCGATCCCCGCTCCCCAGGCCCACCACGCCTTCCATCCTTCCGAGGTCGGCAAATTGGTACAGGACTTGTCTGGGAGGATAGCAGCACTGACTCGATACATCTGTAGGCCACCGCGAGCCATTGTAAAGGCCAGATATGCATTCATTCACCTCCAACGATACTCAATGAAGTCGAATGCATGGCGAATCGCTCTAGGATTGATCAATGCCGAGAGTTTTATGCTTTTCATCCTTTATTGTGTCAACGATATGTGGGTCGTGCTACGAATTTCTCACGTGAGTGAAACGTACACCCATATCTTGGCTGCGTGGGAAGACCCTGCGTTGACGGTTAAGTCAAAAAAAAACTCAGAAAACTGAGCTTTTTCAGTGTAAGTTTTACTTCACATTGTTTTCAATGTTCATTTAACGTCCAAGGTACACGTACGAAATAATGTTTTCAACCAGAGAAGCATCCAATTCGACTTGTTCACGCGCATGATGGGTTCTCCAAGAGCTGGATTTCTTCTTGATAATGCGTACTCCTATTCAGGAGGAAGAAACAATACCCCCATGAATTCACTGAGAATAGTCCCCGCTTCACTGATCCTTCTCGGAAACTTGACGCTGTCTTCATCAGGACGAAAACAAGAATTTGCAATAAATTATTCAGGTTCCTCTCGTTCCATTCGAGCAACTTCGTTATCCACTACGTTATTGCTGCGGACAGCTTTGATGATCGAGCGCCACTTTTTGGGCCTCTTTTCCTATGGAGATTATGTAGGGCTGGTGGAAAAGCTGTGTGTTTGTGGAACAGTTGCAATAGTAGTCAGCTAGAGTTTCCATGTGGGCCGCATTCACTTCTTCGTTGATGTTGGGTGATAGAATGGCGTTAGTTTGGACGGTGTTAAGTTACAATCTTAACCTTTTTATTTACTGCCTATTCTTTTTAATGGAAGGGTATGTTGCGAAACATAACTTGTATAATGCTGAGATATCTGCAAAACTCCGGACCGCAGGTGCTTGCGGTGCGGAACGAACGTGCTGTTGTCCTTTATGGGGAGTAACGCGTTCACCACCACACCATGCGGGTCCTTCGTTTCGCCTGTCTCTCAGCTAGTTCTATCGTTCTTTTGTCATCAGCAATCACCCGTCAGCATTATAAAAGTTATATTTCGCAACATACCCTGCCATTAAAAAGAATAGGCAGTAAATAAAAAGGTTAAGATTATGATTATAACTATAGCCTCAGCTTAAGTGGGTTCAATGACGATTTGGGCTCCCCAGATCAATCCCGTTGACGGGTGATTGCTGATGGCAACAGATCGATAGAACTAGCTGAGAGACAGGCGAAACGAAGGACTCGCATGGTGTGGTGGTGAACGCGTTACTCCCCGGAAAGGACAATGGCGTGTTCGTTCCCCACTGCAGACACCTGCGGTCCGGAGTTTTCCAAATATCTCAGCATTATACGAGGTGTTAGGTTATTTTTCTTGGTCAAAAAAGTCTAGAGCTTAGTCTAGAGCTCAGCAAAGCTTAGAACAACGGGCAGGTCTTATTCTCACACGACTAGGTGCAGTCTAGACATGGTACTTATTTGATACTTGAACGGCCCGAGTTCACTAGTTGAGCGGACAGCATAATCTCTATTTTTCGGAGACTTGCTGGTTAAGCCATTACGGTTCCTGGAATCCCGAGGTCAGCCTGGCCAACGTTTGCCCCAGGTCTTCACCACCACAGGCAGTCGCAGCCCTTGTGGATCAGAGAGAAATTTGCCAACATGCGACTTTGATACTAGAACGGTGGTGAATCTTGGTATTGGTTTGCTCTTAGCTAGGCTTCCTGATGAAAATGCCGGACTCCTCAGCTTGGGAAACGCTGCCAGGGGGATGAATCCGTTGCTATACATCGCAGCCCGACACCCAGGAACACCTCCCAGCCACGATGAGGCTGTAAACCGTTGGGAGATCTAGACGTGGTTCATGCAAGAAAATACGTGTTGGGATGTTGCTTGCTCAAATGCTTCAACCTCGTTCGAAGTTTGATGTATGCGATAGGACAGTTTTCGCGAACGAGTTATGAAGCGCACTGAAGAGACGATTTCGCCCATCACGAAACCTTTTTCAGATACAGTATGTTTTTTAAACTTGTTGTATGAGTTGTGAAAGTGCGTGTAGCTGGTAGTTTACAGCTCGAAGTAGGGACTGTGATTTTGCTTGGTTTTTGAGCTGCGTCTCTCTTCTCGCTCTTCAGAGAAACGCGGTTGTTAATGAGAAAAATCCGAAATTGTTCTTTTTTCAGCAGGATTTTTGGGATTTAAAAAAATGGTTATGGAAAGAAGAGTTCGATGGAATTCTTCTGCTGTCGACATTATACCCGCATAGATTCAGCAGCATTTTACTACATTTCCTTAGACCATTTCTTCATTTAGCTGCTTTCAGTAGTTTTTCTCTTTGTACCGATTTAGATCCTGCTGAAGCTACAGATAGCATTTATTACCAGCCGCGTTCGGTGCGTAGTATCAAGTTCCAGCTTCCCTTCCTTGTCGGCCACATTCTCGGTGGTGGAGGTCATGCGCTCCGAAGTTCTGATTGAATAACTGAGTACGTGCTTAAAGAAATAACGGATGGATTGACAGGAGACTCTATGCTACTAATATCTTATGACAGTAACTTTTCATAAATGGAAGGCTCTCGTTACTTAACTGGCGAACGTTGGTCTTCCTTTTCTTTGTTTCTTTAGAGAGATTAAATGGAATTTATTGCGATCTGTGGCTTCAGACAGAGTGGAAGATCGATGTTTGAAGGAATGATTCCGGTGTTAAATGTGAGAGCAAGAAATAGGCTACATAGTCTGTCACACAGAAGAGGTTTTGATCCATCTCTGGTGATAATCTATACAATACAAGATTTTATAGTCTTTCATCGGTTATCTGACCTTCCAATGTCGCAAGTTGTTCATTGTGTAGGGTGCCGATACTTGTCTGCTTCTTGTCAACCGGCTATTTTTTCCCGTAGTTTCGACATGACCTTGTCAGAGCGTTGTTTACGTTGTCATCGCTGCTAACCACAAGGATTTGTGGACCAGCTAACTATTTTTTGTAGCTTTATAACTAGTGTGCCGCTTAAGCTGTGGCGCCTAGTTTTAGTTCATTATAGTTTATTCTTAGGTAGGTTTCCGGACGGAAATGTCGAAGTGCTTCTACATTTGGGAGACCATACTGGTGGGATGAATCCTAACTTATGCAGTTGAACACTTAGGAACACCAGGTGGACACAAGCTCGCCGAACACTGTCGAGGAATAGGAAGAATATGACTATTAGTTACAAATAAACCCATAGTCCTTTTACAATAAAGCTAAACTATAAGCGCGGTTGAACCATTCAAAGGTCTTGCTTGTGAGTAGGTCCAGGTTACCAGTTTTTTTTTCTGAACAAATGTTTTCTATACCATAGTCCAATTGCGAATGATTTGTTTTGGACACAAAAGCCACAGCTCTCCGTTGTTCCTTCTATCTGCTAACATTGTCGCTCAACACCTGTCTCGATAAAAATATCTGCCGTATGAAACGTCAGAAACAATGCTCCGACAACAGCTAAATGATCACGAAAGCAATTGTACTGCTTTTGTACGCCCACTCGTCAGTATCTCTGATGCAGTCCTGGCTTGTGGACGATAAATCAAGGACCAGAACACTTCTCGGAGATATCAGTATGTTTTGGTTTTATTATTTCTCAAGCAGCAGAAAGGATTGGAAGAATGTAAATCTTAACATACGAAAATTGAGATAATCTGTTAAACTGCAGTACACTATTACTCAATGACCTTTTATTTACTGTTTACTACAATTTTTCACGGCAGGGTATTTTGTGAAATGCAACCACAATGATGCTGAGACATTCGAAAAACTTAACATGCCAGTTCCCGTAAAGGGTAGCCGTGGCTCGATCTAGCCTGGAGTCCGAGTTTTGCGACTATTACCAGTATTTGAAGAAAGAAAATTTGTCACGTCTGCTTTTCAATTAAGATGGAATTTGGATCACTTCTAGTTCAGTACCTGTAGCTTTTGGGAGTAATTTCGAAGAAGCGATAAGTTTAGTAAACATATTAATAACTTCTATAATGTTGCTGAGATATTGGCAAGTCTTCAGACCGCAGGTATCTGCGGTGGGGAACGAACGCGCCACTACGCTTTCGGGGCCGATGTGTTCACCACTACACCATGCAAATCCTTCGTTTCGCCTGTCTCTCAGCCGTGTTTTGCAAATATCTCGGCAACATTATGGTTATATGTCACACTTTACCCTGTTATTAAAAATTAGTAGGCTGGAAATAAGAAGGCAACATTAATGACTTCATCAGAAAAACGGCGTTTACTTGAGTTTATCCTAGACATCTAGCGATACTAACCTTTTTGAGACGTGCATTCCTCATCGCTCGACTTTCTACCTTCTCTGTGATTATTCTACAACCGAACAACACGCGAACAGTGTTAAAACTAAAACACCATGAGAACTATCGGTTGTTGTTAGCAAGCATCTAGTTCCGTTTATGGAAACAATTTATGTATCATTTTTTAATAACTCGAAAGACCGACTTTCTATAAACCTCGGCATAGATAGTTGATATATTTATTTATATGATCTTACAAACTGATCTTCTTAAGCTGACGCGAGGTTGGTACAGATCTTCGTTGTCGTTGTCGTTGTCTTTGATGTTGTTGGTCGATGGCTGACGTTTCGGCGACTTCGCCTTCCTCAGAGCCGTGATGTTACGTGTGGGACTCCCAAAAAGAAAATGGGACTTAAGCTGGCTTAAGAAGACCAGTTTATAAGACCATATAAATAAATAATTCATGTATTAGTGAATTGTAAACAGGATAAACCTCTCGGCACTGATCGATCCCGCAGAAATTCTCCATGCACTTGTCTTCATCAACCATCGTTAGTGCTGATTAGATGCATACTCGGTCTATATGACTTGCAGTATACTGCGGATCTATCAGATCAGGTTTTTCGTATGTTATTAATCTAAGACAAGATTGTTGTACAACTTTTATTCAGCTTGCGTCACCACCTTTTCACTGTCTTCAGAGCCTGATTGACTCGAGTTGTTGTGCGCAACCGTTCGTATGAGTATTCTCGGTACGAGATTTCGTAGTTGCATCGAGTCGAATCTACTGGAGTGGAACACCGCTCGAAAATAGCCTCTTAACTTTGAAAAATATCAGATCAGTGTTTATTCCTTCCAAAAAAGTCTGGTACCAGTTTCCCAACACCAGATGGTTCAAAAATCTGGTTAGGCTAAGGCATGGAATCGAACATCCGCTCAGGTCCGTATTGCAAGACACTTCTATTAACTGCGTTGCCAGCATGCTGGTCTACCATTATCTATACAAATATAACGTTTTTTTAAATCAAACTATACTTAGACCTCCGCCAACGTCGAAAATTCTTACATAACCATCTTGAAAATATTGTAATATATAGAAATAGGAAGACAAGGAATATTGCATGTGCTTTTGTTTACTTATTAACTATTGCTTAAATTCAGTGCAATAATTCAAGTATATTCAAATACCTTTGAAGGCAAAAATAAGAGAAGACTTTAATTAGGGACACTGGATTTTCATTCTATTACATTAATGGAGTTTCGAAGAATGTTGCTTGAACAGAAGAATTCCTGTAGTTAACCCTAGCCAAATACCATTCATTAACGAGAAATTTCTAGGGAAAAAAAAACAGAGAAAACGACTGTTTTGGTTTGGTTTGCCGATTTGGGCTCTCTAGACCAGTTCCGTTGATGGGTGATTGCTGATGGCGCCGATCGATAGAAGTAGCTAAGAGACAGGCGAAACAAAGGACCCGCATGGTGTGGTGGTGAACGCCTTACTCCTCGGAAAGGACAATAGCACGTTCGTCCCTCACCGCAGACTCCTGCGGTCCGCAGTTTTGCAAATATCTCAGCATCATCTTAGGTGAAAATGACTGTCATATGCAAATTACAGACTGTACCTGCTACTCGACATGTACCACTAGAGCATGGTTAAGTTAGGTTTTGTGTCGAAACTGAAATGATGTTTCGTTCCAGTCTTAACTCCCAAGCAGCGGCGCCGTTACGCCTTTCAAACGAATTCATTGCATGGAATTTCTCTTAAAGAACGCACCTTCAGTCGGTGGAAAGACAACGTTGTGCCGTACACACTGTCATCGGACTATTCCACAGAGCAGTACGACTTTATCGTTCTCCATTAATCACTCTAGACACTTTAGAAGAATTCGTGTAGTATAATAATAAATTCCGAAACTGGGAGCAGAAAACACGGTAGTAGTTTTTTTTTACATGAATCGTCTTTCACATCTACTGTGCGGGTCCCAGCAATTCTCGCATTCAATTGGTTTCCTCGCATCCATCATCCACTAAGGTCTCTCAACTTTTTACGTGTGGTTTCGGCAGCTGCTTGAGGATTTTTTCACCGTCGTCACGAATTTCGTTAGATAGTGGTCGATTTCATTCTCCTTGCACGCGTGGGATAGCTGTACTAGTACGTTCCTACGTGAATTAAAGGGAATGAGCCTGTCCCAGAAAAGTCTGGTACCAGTTTCCCGAACTTAGATGTGAAACTTTTCGGGTATGGAGCGGTGTCAAGCCCGTCCCCGATGTAGGTTGGGCCGTCCAAGTATTGAACACGATCATATCCTTGCCCTATCCGTTCCTTTAAATGCCTTGTCATTTGAATCTGTTTCTTATTTGAAAAAATCTAGTTCTTCAAAAGTGAGAATAACTCAGCCAATCACTTACAATCCGCCTTCTTCGACAAATTATTCTTCATTGATTGACCAAATCTCCTAACAGTACCAATTTGTTTTCTACAGTTGAGAAGTTTCGGTGCTCATTTTTAACAATGCGAGTGAGGAAGTTCGTACTCAGAAAGCACTAAAGTAGTTTACATTGTGAGGATTTTAGTTGCAGTATTAGACTTTTCGGTACCCAATATGAGTTATTCCTTTCCATTCGGTTTTTCGGTTTGCTGTATTCATCTTTTACATTCCTCTCGATCCCATAGTCCACTAAGCAGTGAATCCCAACCATTACGGGATGCACTGAAATATTTATTCCGAGTCCCAAAATGACGTATCTCCCTCCGGCTTACAACATCCTGTGGTAAACTAAAGGAACTCCTGCGCATGGCTCGGGATTCTAAGCACAACTACGCTTGAGCGATTGAATAGGTCACGAAGAGTTAAAATAACAGGTGCTGAAGTTGTAGCTGAATCAATACACTGATTGAGCCGTTAGAGTAGACAACCGATGCAAGACAATGGAACGAAGAAAGGCTAGGACCGAAACGACATTTGAAGATGGATTATCAAGTATCTAAGCTCTTGGTTTGTTATTTGCCGTGCGACAGTGTTTTCGAACTAAGTGGGTATTACACGTCAGATTTGAAAGTCAGCGGAAGGACTTTGTTGAACATTGTGGAGGCTTGAGAAGAAAAGCCACTTTTTTTTTCGTCCATGATGGTGCGTGATTTATGAAAAGTAAGGAGTGCTAAGCGTGAATCACTTATTTGCTGTAAGCAAATTGGGCAATATTGGACCTTCAGCTTTCCTTATGTATGCCGAACGTTTCATCACAAGAGTGGAGTATGCGATTAGTCACTGCATCAACTGGTAAAGGTGCGATTCATTCAAGTACTTAGTAAGACCTATGCTTTATTGACACGGTGTTTGGCGGATGATCTTACTCTCAAAATTTTGATGAAACGTCAAGTTTAGGAAGAAGACAATCTACGACTTACTATCCAGCTTGGAGCAAATCTCGTGCTTTCGTTTTCAACAGCGTTCCACCGAAAAGGACTTTCTGGTCTTCATACCTTTGGATGGATGCTACTCATGTGTGGGCAAAATCGGTAGTGTCGCACGTTTCTATATAGCAGTACTGGAGCTGTAACTCTAAGAGTTCATTAAATGATATGCCTTGCTAAGATCTGGGAATACTGAAATGTTCATCCAAGTATTTGTAGATTTTATTCTCTAAAGAACCTTCGTGTCTTAAGACGATCTTTTTTCTTTAGCATCTACCTTAACCACTTATTTTTCTCAGTCTTTAATTCACTGAAAAAATTAAAGGAAGTATATTTGCTTGGTCATTTCGGTTTGTTGTTCATCCAAATCTTAAGTGTACTAAAGCAAACGCATTTTAATTCGTTAGACATTAGATTCGTTATTGTTGGCAGTAGTCGAAAACATAGTGGATGGTTGGTTCATGCAAAGTAATCCGATCTTCTTCAAATCCTCAATGAGATTCGGCCTCTTGAGGAGTGATATACGCCAAATCGAAAAGAAAATTTCACTGATTTCCATTCTTGTTGGTCTATGCATCGAAACGAGTAGATTGTATTCTATCCTCAATTTGATTCAGGTGGTGCTCAAGTGTTGTCTGTAGACTGTATTGCTGATTACACAATATGGCACGAAGTGATGCATGCGATTGGCTTTGAGCACAAACATCAACGCCCCGACAGAGATCAGTTCATTCGCGTCGAGTACAGAAACGTTCAGCGAGGACAACTAGGTTTTCCTCTAGTCGTATTCGTTACCAACCAACGTGTTTACAAAGACTATAACTACTTTAAAGATAGACAACGCAACTATTCAGGGCACTATGGTTAAAAATATTATTCATACAAGAAAAGCACTCACTAAATTGTAGGGAGGATGTTAAAAGTATTTTTTATAGCATATTAGATCCACATTTGAAAAGGTTAGGTTAAACACTCTACGAGGTCCTGAATTGGTTGTAACAATATTAAATAGACATTAGATGAAAGACTGTAGAGTGAGGGGTGAGAGGTAACTAAGATTATTTTGTGGTCTTTTATTTACCAGTGGGTTGAGAGTGATCTGCGGATTATCAGTGAATCTTCCACGTGACTCTCGAGATACTCTAGATGCCCAAATATAGAGATGTTTGATTAATGTGAAGATTGACGTAGATGGTTAGTACAGCATTGTCACGTCACTAACGATTGCTAACCATATGATTTGAATCTAGTGGATAGGTCATAGATTCATCGATTTAATTTCAGTGGATTTTGAGAAGCTTTCGTCATATGAAGTGGACTGTCCCGATTCATATGACTACAAGTCAATTATGCACTACGACTCGAAAGCTTTTGGAAGGTTGAACCCTGTAAGGAATGTGCGTCTCCTTCAGTGTTTCCTCTTAAGGTACAGTTTGTTTAAATTCAAAGTGCCGTTAGAACAAGAAACGTAGTAGGAATTTCAAAACATTTCCATTCCTTGCCAGAACAGGGGTGCATTGTTGAAAAAAAAGCAAAATCTAAGTGAGTTGTGAAAGCGAGAATCCTCAGAAGCGTTGCATATGCGCTTCCTCTCCATGTTCTTCATGATTTTACGTAGTTGGAAGAAGCTTTAAATTTGACGTTATAGCGACATCGAGAGATCGTACATGACGCCGACCATTTAGTACCCGGCAAACCCTGGGTTTTGTTGTGGAAAGTAGGTGCAAAATTTGAATTGACTGATTAAAATGTATTCTAGAGTCAAATATCAACCGTTGAAGCTGAGTGTTCTTTTTTGGGCTTCTATAAACGGCAAAAACTAGTTTCGAGGTGTCGGAGAAAAATAGCTGGTGAAATTGTGACACCGACGACAGACTCGTAGGCTCCTGCGAGACATTGTAAACGTAAATGAGTAATAGGTAATAGAATGACTGAAAATAATGAATAATAAATGTAAGTAAGGCGACCATGCATTCATTACCTCTACTATGCATCCTGTCATTCCTAATATTTGCTGAATGTCGAGATAATGGATAAAAATTCCGGAGTTTTGATCAATCTCTGGGGGATACGCCATGTATTCGACTTCATTAAGCGTCGTTAGAGGTGATTGAATGCATATCTAGCCTCTACAATGACTGGTGGCCTGCCGGTACAAGTTAGTACTGCTATTCTCCCAGACAAATCTGGTACCAGTTTGCCGAGGCCGGTGTTATGGAAAGCTTTGTGAGCCCTGGGCGCGGGATCGAACCAATGACCTCTTGTGTATGGCAGGGCACCTCTGAGCACAGCACTACGCTTGCTCTTGGTGTTGAGATATGTAGTAGTAGTTACTTGTTTATGCTTCAGGAAGGAGTAACTTTAAATGATAATCTAAAGATGTCGGCGACAGATATCAAGAAGCTAAGTCGTTTGGGAAAATGCTACAGCGACCTTGGTTTGCAGTTTCTCTAACTTAAATGTTTTAGTATTCGTGATTTCTTGAACTTTTTGCGTGTCTTCTTTTTTAGATGGAAATACATTCAGACAAAAAGACGAGGAGAAGAATAACATGTGTGCGGATGTGGCGTCGAGATGTTCGAAAGTGAAACAGGTTGTCTAGCCACACATATGTATTTGGTCAATATCAGAACATTTCCGACTTCAGGTGGAGCTATGGTCGATGAAGATCTACTTTCCTACTATACTTAAGAAGTGTGTTAGAACGTGCCAAATGTGTGGTACAAGAACAACTTATGGTTTTATGACTTCTCACTCACAACGACAACGCAAACCAGCAGAGTACACTGGTCCTTTAGAATGTGAGCATCACTTCTAGACGCTTGCTAGTGAAACTCAGTCTCTGACTAGTCCAAACATTTAAATAAACTTTGTAACATACAAAATTCTTTGTAACTATTGAAATAACGCTACATGCTAAAGTAAGAGTGGCTTCAAATACATTTCTAAAGACCTAGTTATTAGCATCATCTGGAAAACTGTGGTAAATCACAGACTGTAACATTTATGTAACATCAGTGGTAAATTTGAAGCGGATAGTTTAAAATGAAGGCGAATATTGAACAAGGAGACGTAGAGAAGGCATGGAAAATTTTAAAAAGGAGTAGGTTCATTATTTGATTTCTGGCCGCTTTTTAGGTTGTTTCGAGAGTTCATTAGAAAATGGTATATCTGTTCTATTGTGGGAATACTTGAGTGTCAAAATTGCAAGAATCTTAAGGAACACCAAATTTTTGCAACTTTTCTCAAATGCATATCTTATTTATAAGTCAGCATAAGATTACTGTAGATATCTGCATTTATCTCTCAATTAAGAAAATTCACCGACTGTTTTGAAAGCCGCTGCCGGGAATTACTACCCAATTTTATGCTTCTTCTAGTCGGATTTCTGCTTCTTAATGCTCAAAAACGATCGAAACAGTCGTCGAGTTCAGATTCACTTTTCATTTTCTCACACATCTCCGATCTATGCAGTGATTTAGAACAGAGTAACTGTTTTCCAACTTCACTAATTCCCAATAATATCGAATAGATTCTTCCTCGAAGCTTTGCGCTTCACGACTGTGTAGGCTATCGGAGGTAATGGATAAAGAACTGCGTTGTACAAAGGAGTTTCACACTTCAGCAGAGCCAACTGAAGACCTCACATTCTCTTTTCTCTAACAAATAAAGTCGATTTCTACACACAAATGAAACCGCTACTAAAAGTAAGCGAGTAGAAAAGTGAAAGTGAGACATAACGCTGAGAAACAAGCTGACCGCTTAATTATACGAGAGCGATGGGTAATAATTATAATTCTAGGATATATTGCTTCTTTCTATTCTGGCAGTTGCCTCATGATTTACCCGATCTTCGCTGGTGTACGAACTTGCAGAAGCATATGGTGCCCGTCTATCAGCACAAACACACTTGCTGATGATCCCAATTAGTGGTTTATTGCAATTCCAATATAATCACTTTATTTTTTGCGTTTCTTTGAATTGAACTTTGTGACCCCGATTCTTCCATTTTTCCGCTAACAACGATTGTTATATCTTCCGTGGTCTTTCGAGTCTAGTTTTAACATTTGACATTATATCTACTTGAGGAAAACGTAAATCCCGGTAGAAATTCCCATCGTTTTTATTGTTTTCTTTTCTTCTTTAGTATATGTTAAATGTGTTAAAAATCATAAACAAATAGACCCCCCTTTCGATGAATCTCTGTGTTGAGGACCCGGAACTACTCTAGTGCTACTGTTTCGTGACACGAAGAAGAAAAAGCTTTTTAAGCACCACCACTAGACAGGTGTGACGAGGGTAAGGCAATGGTAGTGATGTCGTCTAATACACACAAGGGTCCACTTCGATTATGCAATAGGCCAACATCTCTCTATGTCCAACGCTTTGGTACCAGACTTATCTAGGAAGCTCCACTCAGTTCATGGGACCCAGGAAAAGCTTTCGGATACGTAAAATCAACATGAAAAGCATTTAACGGTATTCATAAACATGAAGGCAATACTCCAGCAACAACCAAACCGACTCGAAAGTGAAGTTCTTAAGGAATGATGGATGCGAGGGAACGAAATGAATTCGAATAGCCTTGCGATCCGCTATGAGGACTGATTACGTAGATGTAAAATAAAATAGAAATAAAAAACCAACAACATAACTATGAGGTGAGAATTGAACTGTGCCCGGATAGTTCTTGGTTAAGATGGCTATCTGAGTAATTGCTTTAAATAATAAGAAAATATACCAACGACGAAGGTTGTAAAAGAAATGAATAGGAGCAAAAGTCATTATTTGATGCAGAGTTCAAATTCAGTACGCGTCAACGATTTCCACCCATAGTTTTACTAACATTGCGTAAATAGGGCTGTTTAGACATGAATACTGTAGCGATTTTTCTTCTAAAATAATACTGTTACACTATAAACATGAGCTACAAAAGCTTAAGATCAAATGCCTTGCTTTAGACAACAACGTTTTGGTTACAAGCTGAGTGGATGACACTTTATGAAAATAGATGCACCTCGTCGCTTCACTATGTTCCACTGGATCACGTAGTTATAACTGCTTTATGAAGCATATTCCAGACATAAATACAACGGTACTTAGCGGAAAAGCACGGACAATGCGATGAGAAATGCGAGCCTGATCGTTGGTTGCGAGACTTCGTTACAGAATTGCTGGTCACGACAATAGCACTGGGAGTATTTGTTGCGAACCGTTACTCCGCCTGGATTCGTCAGAACGTCGTAGCTGACACAGGAATTATCGATGCCGAGTATGTTGATGTTCGAGCAGGATTTCGCTACCTGATGACCTCCTAAAGAGTGCAGTTCGAGATAACAGTTTTAAGCTGAACATTCGCGTCACCATGTCACCGCTGACTCATTACCGTAATCCTTTTTTGAGAAGTGTAGGTTCAGTTTGTGTAGTGAAGAAAGAGGTCTCCGGTTTTAACGGAAAGTGATTGGCGATGGTGCTTGAAGATCATGGCAAGGGTTTAAAATTAGTGACGAGTTCATAGTGTTCAAACTATTCAAGCTTAAATGAATTTTAAAAGGAGTCATGAAAGATGTTAAAATTCGAGTTCTAAGACAACCGTACTGCAGTGGTTTTATGAAGATTGAGAGTTGGAAAAGCGATACGAAGTGGTTCAATTAGAAGAAAACAAGAGCCGATATATCCTTTACCATTTAAGGACCCTTAAAAGTGTTTTATTCACGGGGCAAGGAAAATTTGTAATTTGTATGTCTTTTATCTTATCATTTAGCGGAAAAAACATATCTCTCACTAGGGAAACAAGAAAAAAGGAAATGAATCATGTGATGATAGACTTGTGCCACAGAGAGCTGTAACACTTTTGAACTGTAAAGTGACTTATACATGAAAACGATTGTAGTAGTTTTCATACTGCAAAATGTAGTGAAGATATTTGAACTACCTCCGAAATTGACCGTTTGTTTCGAGCAGTACTTCTTCGATGAACACTTTCTGTCTTTGTCCTTGCAATTCTTTCCCTCCTGTGGAGTGCACTCGTAGCAGCTCAGTACTTGCCCTCCAACTACTGCAATAGGGGACATTTTTTATTTTTATACAGTAATCATACCCTGTACTGACACGAAGCTTTCACAGAGAGCACAGGGACCTTTGCAAATTCGAACTTAGTCTTATAAGAGTCGCCCCGGTTTTAAAGTGTACGTGTTTGTATGAAAACTTCCAGAGATTTCAATTAGATTTCCTTCCAAGGTTTTTGTTGCACCATACCTTTTCCTACCAGAAAAACTCATTGTGCGCTCAAAATTTGTTTGTCAGTTGTTTGTGAAAAGATATGATTATAGGAACACGATACAGTCACATCATTCAAACTATCAGTTCGCTACTGAGTAATCACAAAGTAGAAAAGACATGCTGTATGGTCGCTATAATATCCGATATTAATGAACCATATAAGGCCCATACGAATGAGTTCGTGAACGGAATTTCGCCCACGGTTCTGTAATACCCCACTATAATTTGTCGGCAATAGGAATCTCTGGATGCAAACTACAGGCGCTTACATAAATGATGTGAAATTTCACTTAACTTTGTACAATCTGATAGGATAACGTTTAAATGATTTCCGTTCAGTCGTTTGCCTTTCATTTTGACGCCAAGATGTTTGCCGAAGTCCGATTACTGGGTACAGCAACGAGTTCATTCTACGTTTGAGGGAGCACTGAAGCTAAGAAACACTTCGCGATTTTGATCCAAAACCCCAGCTAGAGTGAGATTCTAGAAAAGAAAAAACAATTCTAAAGAAGAAAACCGCCATCCTATCGAGAACTATTTGTCATCATGCGGGTGACCAATCTTCGAAGGCTTTGGTAAAGTTATCATAAAAACAACGAAGGAAGGATTCCTTGTAACTATTTGGAACGATTAGATTAAAATTGTGCTTAGGCTCACACGATTTCTCGCTAAGGTGGACCGTTCACCTACTAACTACTAGGCAAGCAAATGGATCGGCTATTTCTCCAACTTTCACTTTCTTCCTTCAGTCCTCTTTAGTAAAAACAAGGAGTAGCAACGAACGGCTGCCGACGGTCTGCTGGTCGCAATCGCTGAACGCATTGGGTGCGGTTGACTGACGATTGTTGCAGTTGGGCGAGCTGTAATCTAATTCTTCAGAGTAACACAACTTGATTAAGAACTTCAACGAACTTAAGCAATTATCAGAGGATGATTGAGTATAATGCTCAGCAAGATCTGCATTCTCTTGAATTATACCCCTTGAATGTACTACAACTTATACCATCCTACCTTATATTGATCAAAAGGCAAAGGAATAAAAAGATAAAGCACTCGACATTAATCAGTTTCTGAGGGATGGACTCTGCATTTGTCTTCGACAATCATCGTTAGCGTGAAATGCATATCTGGGCTATACAGTGACTTGCGGTGGCCTACCGAATGCGTCAATTTTTAGGATTTTTAGGACTGCTATCTCCCCAAAACAAGTTTAGTGGTAATATGGCAACCCCGGAGGGATAGAATGTTTGGTGAATCTGGGACGCGGGATGGAACCAACAACCACATTAGTATTGCAGAGCATCTATACTAAATCTGCTAGACGTGCACCGTGAAAACACAATAAAACAGTATTATGTTCCTAGTGTGAAGTTACAGTATCTAGAGGCAATTATAACACGTTATTTGTGAAAAATTAGGATTAGTGTAAAGCGGAACCAATTAATGTAAAGTGAGGCGAACCTGCAGAATTCGCTGAGTGCCCGTACTGTGACCAGTTCGCCTTTGCTGTTCGCCATTGGATGGCTAAAATCGTACTCGCAGTAGGATTCAACGCTGGAACTGGTACGATTGGCGACCACCTGGAAACGTCGATGAACTAGGAAAAGTGGTGATATTAACAACAAAGAAGTCAATTTAGTGTTATATGAAATATTCGGTTACAGTAACAGTTGAAAACGCTAAAGGCTTTTGATCTCTTTTGACGAATTGAGTACTACCATTGACGGCTTCTAGCCTGAATAAAAGTAAGATAGAAAAACATTTAAATTACCGATGTTATGGTTGTGTGACATCCTCGTACCACCAAGACTACAGTTGCTCCACCTTGAGCTTAAAAGAGTAACGGATCTGTTGCGTAGGAACCGAATATCTCTCTAATTAAACAACAACTTTATGGCTAGTTTCCACTTTGAAGTATCAAATTTTACTCATGTTTAACTAACTACGTCATCAAAAACAACCTTTGATCCTTGTTGCTTATGAGTCATGTATGGGGCTATATGTTACAAACGCATTAATAGGCATAGTCACGCCAAATTTGCCCTTTGCGATCCTTTACGAAGGTGATATGGTTACTCTCTAGTAGTCTGTCGCCTTATCGTGACTAGAAGGTCTCCATACGGGGACTAAGCTAACAGTAGTCCAATGACAAGAGTCATCGTTGGTCTGGTGGCAACCTGAACGCGAAGTGGAAAATCTTTGTTCGATCCACTTCGGCTGACTGCCTATGGTGACCAATTAAGAAAACCATAGAACTATAGAAAGAAAATTCTGCCGTTCAGGCAAGTTAGCACTCACATGGAAATTGTGAGGAGGAGCACACGACCGCTGGTGAAGATAGGTCATTCATGTATCACGTAAGAGTAATGTAGTTATGTAGCGCTTTGTGCCCAAATTACTCACTTGGAAAAATATCAGGATCTTCGAACATATATGTGAAGCAGCTTCCAGTACAGCTCTCCGTCTGTAATTTTCCGACATTCTGTGCTGAGCAGTCAGTGAAATAACTATCCTGGAGGCGCGGTAATCCTGTAATCTGCCATCGAGAAGAGAGACCTTCAGAAGCGCACTGTAACAATGTGTTCGTGCTAAAATGAGGACGAATATCATTGGAATGCAGGAGATGTTATTTCTTGAGTAGTTGAGTTGTAGTTCAAAAATCGGCCCATAAGTTCTTTTGACTTATTGAATATGTTCAGTAGCAACTATCTACCGGACAGCCTCCTTTTGCATCATAAAAACAAGTTGTTCTTTGTCTTTTTTAAAATTTATTTACTTATTTTTCACCAGAAGAAGCAGAAAAATTGCAATTGTAATTATAATTGCTAATTATGAATCTTGGAGTTATTCTGGAAGAATAAAATGATCTAAACAATAGTGGTGTACTTTAAGAAATTGGTGGATAGCTCTCAATTTTATAAGGAAACCATATAGACTTCCTTCGATATGAAAGCTTGCTACTCACAGCGTAACACGATTTCGTTTCATGACTGGACAAGCCGACCAGATAGAAAGATGAGAGCAGCAGGTGATGCACCGTACTTGGCATTGCTGAGTACACAGACTACGGGCACGAACGACTTCGTGGATGGCGCACGACTTATAAGCAGGTCTCGCCAGGAGATTACAATGAATCATGCAGTAAGTGCAAGGCACGGAGCAAGTCATGGCCTGTTCGAGGACGATGGTAGCATCACCTCCATACAGTTGAGGAATTTCAATTTTTACCCTGTGCTGGGAACCACATGACGTTCAGTTATCGTCGTCCTAGGGACTTAGGTGGTTATGAATGAAACAGTAACCTAGGCCGAAAATGTGAAAAAGAAGAACATGCTCATAAATGTGTCTTGGAACACTGGGAACCGAGTATAAAATGGTCTACCTAAAAGAGAACCACAACAAGGAACGAATTTTAGACGAAACTGAACCCTTGAGATGGTGAGTAGCATGCGAATGGATTTTTCGCAAAGCAGTTACGAACATTGCTGATGGCAAAAGATCGATAGAACTAGCTGAGAGACAGGCGAAACGAAGGACCCGGATGGTGTGGTGGTGAAGTGCGCTACTCCCCGGTAAGGACAATAGCGCGTTCGTTCCCCACCGCAAGCACCTGCGGTCCGGAGTTTTGCAAATATCTCAGTATTATTATAGTTATATTTCGCAAAATCCCCTACCTTAAAAAAGAATAGGCAGTAAATAAAATGGTTAAGTTACGAACATATTTGGACAATTGAATGCTCCACTGCATGAGTAATGCAGGTAACAAGGGATCTTCCCATCGTTTGTTTGCCTCGCAATCGCAGCGTGGTATTCTTTTCAAGCGTAGTAATAGAATGTGAGGTCTATTTTGTGACCCGTAAATCGTTTCCAACTGTAAATGAAGCAGATTGGCTAGAATCGTGAAGACGTCGGCCCACTGTGTACGGGCTCATTCCATAGAAAGGTGGCATCTTCTACTGATCTTCTAGTTCGTATGCGCCAACTTTTTGATCGGTCCGTGCATTTTGGTACGGATGTATGATCGAATTGATGTTGAATTCGAGGTCGTTTTCGTGTATAACTTAGAGGTCATTATACAAACGGTGTGAGGATGGTAAATGATGGAGACCACCCGCACAGAGTCTTACATGGATAAGCAATGTGCCTGGTTACGTCAAAAAATTAATCTGAGGTATGGTGCAAGGTCACGCATTTTCACAAAACACTACCCTCCTGCTCATTTTCTAATTCTTGTAATTTATCCAGAATAGTTCGGCAGTTTTCGTGCTGATGTCTTTTATTCTTGCTCAAGGATAGGGCCTTCTACTTTAAAATCTTCCCCATTATGGTTCACTGTTCTGTGTGCACCTTGTGGGGTATTTGCTCTAACTTTCAGTTTACCGACTGGGTGTTCTTTTATATGGATGCGGAGTGGCCTACTCTTTCCGTCAGCGTATTCTTCCCCACACTTTCAGCAAGAAATCAGATAAACCGTACCCGAACTCATGCAATTACCGTCTCTAACTTTAGGAGATATAAAGCAATTTTGCATTGTACATAGACGTCCATACAGGAGGTTGCGAACTAAGTGGCGTCTGAGATTATTCGCTGGTAATTCAATCACCGTTACCGAATTTTTTAGAGCTGCCCTTTCTAAGCTTCTAAGCTGCATTTACTTCGTTGCAAACGAAGGACAGAATAAATAGAACCTTATTATCGCTAGACTTATGGTGGGAGCTTAGGTTAATCTCTGTACTCACCTCGAGGTGATACAGTTTCGTCACCTGTACAGTTTCGTATCCATTTGAAATGACTATTTGCCCAATTTTCACGGATTCTTCCTTCTCCTCTCCTCTTGTGCAAATATTGGTAGATGTTCGATTTACTTCAGAATCGATATTGTTTTAGTGAATTTCGCTTCCTTAAGAGCCTGGAGAGTGTCACATTAATATGCATTCTACATAGCCAGGCATATGCTTAACGTAAGAGCTAAAACCTATGTTTAAATCAAAGTAAACAGTTTCTTCAACAGCCTGAAAATTTTTCCCTTTGTATGTCTTCCACTTAGTAAAGAGGACTAGCCGGAAAGAGCTTATGTATGTGAGAAATGTGTCTGTCTCAGGTCGAAATACCCATTTGGCTTCTGGGCAACGTTGGTGTGAATACGAAGTGTCCTCGAGTTTTTGAAAATTGTTGCAGAACGTCCCGATAATTTTGCGAGTTGGTATTTACACTCGTATGCGAGTCCCGTGACTTTTTGAACATCTCCTCCTCTAAGCTCTGGTTTTCTATGTGGTCAAATAGAATGTTCTGTTTACTTCAAGTTCACTGTTTTTTTGATAAGCAAACACGAGTTACATCACAGCGTTTATTCATTAACAACAGCCGATATATAGACTGTTGAACTTTCTCTAAAGCCTGAAGAAGCAAAATAACACGTATTCCACTCCGAATAAAGCTTGATACATAAATGTTTATGAGGGATGTCTGTGTTTGTGTGAGAGACCGAAAGAGAACTGGATTTGTTTCTTAACGGTCAAACTAAGCTATCCGAAACGGCTATATCACGAAGTGGTACCGAAGACCAAGTAACAAAAATAGACTGCTTCTCCATTATCTCTCCTCTCACCACCAAAGGGCGTTTATGGAAAATATGCTTCAAACAGGTGAGTTAAATGGATCCTCTACGATAACCAGCAACGATCGGCTGTGGTTGGGTTGCAATGAGGCAGCGCAGAACTTCACTAAGCAGAAACTGCATCAAAAGAGGGTCAGCCTGACGTTTGGTGATCTACAGCTAGATAGACCTATAACACCCTCCTCAATCGAGTTGAAACGATTATGGAAAGAAGTACGTGGATGCATTAACAAAATCACGTTTGTTTATCAAGGAAATATAAATTTGCTGATAACTTCCAAGATTGACAGAAGGACGGCTGTGGGTTTTTTTCACGAGGTTTAGACTCCTTTCTCGAGTGATGACAGTATTAGGCTTTACAGAAGTTTCTGCTTTTTAATGTGTCATATCCTAGCTCATTATACAAATGAAGGCGTTGAATGAAGATAAAGGCGTTAATCAGTCTCTGAGGGCTGCGTCATGCATTCGACTTCAACAATCATCGTTGGGATCATTGAATGGATATCTAGCCTCTACCATGACTTGTCCTAGCCTACCGATGTATCAGCCCAGAGCTGCTTATCATCCCAGATAAGCCTGGTAGCAATTTGCCGACCTGGAAGGCTTGGTGAGCGTTGGGCGCGGGATCGAATCCGTATGTATCGCAGGGCGCCTCTAGTCACTGCACTACACGCGCCCCTTCGATAGCAAGAGAGTGAACAATAATTTTCCGATAACTGGAGAACTTTAGGAATTGCAAACATGACAGGATTGTAGGAGAGACTTCGCTGTATCGTTCTATATATATGAATGGTATATATGCTGCTACTCACTATGTGTTACGATGGTGCATCATTCATATACACGTTGTCAGGGTTTGGAAGGATTTGATAACTCATGTGGTGTCTATTCCGATGTTTTCGTGTTTCCACGCATTTCATATAAAAACATTTACGATGGAAAAGCACTTAGGTGTTAATAAAATTACCGGTGAATATCAGGCACCGAAATGAAAGTGGACACTGTACGACCAAATCGTCCCTAGGCATTTGAGCGCATACGTTCACATTGGCCTTAATGTGTTAAAGCATGAAGGATAAAGCGTTTAGAATAGATCAACCCTTAAAGGAGATCCTATGTATTTGACTCCATCTGCAAAATAAGTTATTTCGAGCAGTATAACTAAATGACGATTCGTGCTCCCCAGACCATTCCCATTGACATGTGAAAATACTGATAGCACTGTTAGGGTAAAAAACTGCCTGAGATAAAGGCAGAACGAGGGCCTCAGTAGTGGACTAGGTAACACTTGATCCCTGCATGGGTAATCGAGGGTTCAAATCTGGCCTGGCATCCAACTTCTGCGAGTAGTTCAGCATTATTTTGGTTGTAATTCGCATATTACTATACCTGAAGAAATATTAAGCAGTAAAGGAAAAATCAAGCATTATTATATCAATGTTTTAATGTCCTCCCAGACAGGCCTGGTCCTAATTTGCTAACCTTATGGAGGTGGAATGCTAAGTTCAACTGGAGCGTGTGATCGAACCAAACCAACAACGCTGTTTGTATTGCGAGACACATATACCCACTGAGTTGGATGACCCTCTACTGTATATTGTTCGTTCACGAGTGTGTTGAAAGACTTGTTAAACCTAATAGTTTTACTCAGTGATTTAGTGTTACATTCTGATAGGCATTTATTGCTTAAAAACGACTGTAATGCTTGAAAGTAAAAGCAAATCATGGCGTATTTGTTGTTTTGAAGTTTCCGTTATTCCGTTATTCTCCTATCACATTTAGAGTTTTAAAGGTACAGATAGGGATATTTATATTTGATGTTTTCCACGCAGGTAATCTCTTGACAGGGGCTGCGTGTGGCTCTGTGGTTAGAGGCACCCTGGAGCACGCATGGGATCGACCCCGCACCCTAGGCTCACCAAGCCCTCCGTCTCTCCGGGGTTGGCAAATTGGTACCAGGTTTGTCTGGGAGGATAGCAGCACTGGCTCGATATATCGGTAGGCCATCGTGAGTTATTGTAAAGCCAAGATATGCACACAGTCATCTCCAACGATGCTACGAATGGAGTCGAATGCATTGTGCATCCTTTAGGATAGGACCAACGCCAAGAGCTTTGTCCTTTAATCTCTTGAGGATGTAATCTCCCTTAGATCTGTTTGCGTTGTTTCGTAGCTCGTAACCCCTTTTCCGTTAGAATTGCGTTCGTTGTCTCTTGGTGTTTGGTGTGTGGTGTAGGTGAGTATTCTCTTCTCCTTTGGTAGTCCTTCACTTCTAGGAGGGTTAAGTAGTTGAAATGAGAGACACAGAAACTATGGAATATCTCCATGAATGAACTACGAAGTTCTAGGCGAGTTTTCTCTCTTGTTGTTTGGTAGAGCTTCGCTGTTTGGACGTAAAGAGTTGTTCAAACAAACTGAAATAATAGTGCAAAGTGGCCACTAGGTGATCTGTATTTAATTGGATCATGGCACTTAGTACAACTTCTTTTCCCACGTGAATCCAATTTCAATGTTAACAAGAACATAAGAATCACGACATGATAACCGAGTAAGCCGTTTTGTTGAATTTCTTCGAAGAATTCCTTAACGTTTGTAGTTCTTATGTAATGGGGGACTAGGTGTAACGACTCATGCAGGCCACTATGAATTTCACTTAGCTGCAAATGTTTTCACTCCAGACATCAATTTTTTGCTCAAATTTTGACATTTTTGTTTATTCATCGATGGGAGTGCTATCTATATAAACATGCCAGTATTGGCTGTGTTAGTTTCGAATTTGATAAATAAGCATCAGAAATAAAACCATACTTGTTTCAAGGTTATTGTGGCCTTGTGACATCTCAGAGTCAGTGTTGCTGTTGATGGTGGGGTGGGAGGGAAGGGCAACCTACTATATTGGCGTGATTTCAATGTTTCCCATCTATCGTCATAAGGTAAGATACACCTGTAACATAAGCTATCTTGCTCTACCAAGGTGAAATCCTAGTTTTCTGGAGTTTATGGCACATATTGCCCTCACCTTTCTGTTTCTTTTGCATGAAGGCTCGTATTTCGACCACGAAGACAATTCAACAGACGGGATTTCATCTGGCAGAATACGATTTCTTGCACGGTACAATGTTTGAAGTTGCTTCTGTTAGTTTGGAAATCTTGAAAACCTGTCTTTTTCTTATAATTTCAAAAATCTTAGTTGTAAACATATTTAGAGTGAAAAGAATACTGTATAAATATTACACACATGATTAAAACAAGAGGGCAAAGTTTCTTCCAAAACTCGCTGGAGTTATCAACTTTTCAAAGATTATAAAGATTGAGAAACCGTCGTCAGTAGCCGGCAAACCAATTTCAGGCATTAGGTGTTCAAGAGCTACTAAAATCCCTATTTTTCTTCACTACTCTTCACCGGGGCGTGTAGCCCAGTGGTCGGAGGCGCCCTGAAATACACTTGGGATTAATACCCGCATCCTAGGCTCCCCAAGTCTTCCATCTCTTCAGAGTAGGCAAATAGGTACCAGACTTGTCTGCGTAGATAGCAGCATTGGCTCGATACATCGGTACCCCACCTCGAGTTGTTGTAAATGCCATATTTGCATTCAATCACCTCTAACGCTGGTCGATGAAGTCGAATGCATGACGCACCCTCAGGGGTAGAACAACATCGGGAGCTTTATCCTGTACTTTTACTCTCTAGTGCTTTGCTGTTTATTACCATTTTCTCTCATGGATGGAATTATCCATCGCTTTAACATGTTTCTGATTGTTCGTATATATCTGCGCTGCATAGACATCACTTTGTTAGGCTTTACATTTCCTGCAGTTCTCTATCAACATCTGCCGTTCGCCCACTTTTCGCAAGTCTGTCGTCGAATAGTATTTTCCACGATAATCTGTTGATTGGTGATGCGCTGCTGCCTCTTCTGAAGACAGATGCCTATTCAGGACTTCAAACGAATGGTGATTTCACTGGCCACCAACTGGAATGTTCTCATTGTAGTCGAACGGTCAGCTCTAATATATAAACGTTCTTTTTACGGTCTTTCTGTAATTTTTGAAATAATGTGGAAACCATTTACCATCCTTCAGGTCAACGATGTGCTGAATAATTGTCGTATTGGTGTTGGACTCCAAGGCTCTTCCACTTGTCAGCATAATCCATCGCAGAAATTTTCTGATTATCTGCCTTCTGGAGCTCAATTTAATGGTTCTGTTCAATCTACAATAAATCCTCGTCAACCTGTGAGGTTGTTGTTGGTAGACTACTCAAGACACACAGGCAACAACTACAGGTGCGATGTCGTGCGTTAGGCTTAGGGTTAGACTTAGGCTCAGGTATTTCTCAAACAGTAATTGAACTATGGCGAGAGCCTGGAACTCTGAAGTCGGGTAGGGCGGAACCTATATGGACTTGGAGAACGTCAACTTACTTGGCGAAATAACTCCCGAATTTTTCATACATTTAATTTTTTCATGAGATATCTTCTTCTAGTGATTGTGTTTATTGAATTTATTGGTTCTAGACTGACCCATCACCTTCTGATTGTTGTACTTCTTCCGCGTTGACGAATCCATGCCTACACATTGACGAGGAACGCGAACTGGAAGTGAACGCACTTAGATTCTTTGGCTTTCAACTTTTATTCGATATTCTTCCACAACCTTTTGCTCGATATTGTTCCGTTTTCATTGAAGACTTTTTTGGACACCACTCGTATAGTGGAGGGTTGCTATGCTGGTTCTACAATGGTGCTGAGATATTTGCAAAACTCCGGACCGCAGATGTCAGCTGTGAGAATCGAACTCTAAACGGTTAAGGTAACGACATTGTGATTTCCACTAAAGCCTCAGCTTAACTGGGTTCAATACCGACTTAAGCTCATGAGATCAATCCTGTTGACGGGTGGTGGCTGAGAGCAACTATAGGTTAAAACAGGACTGAGATAGAGGAGCAACAAAGGACCACCGGCATGGTGTGGTGGTGAACGCGTTAGCCCTGGGAAAGGGTAATGGAGCGTTCGCTCGCCAAAGCAGACACCTGCGGTCTGAGTTTCAAATGGCTGAGCATCTTTTGATTGAATTGACACAATTAGTGATTTCTTCGATAGTTGTGTTGTTGTGTTAAACACTAATTGTAACATGGCTATAGGTACAATACGTATATGGGCGGATAGCACAGTGGTAGTGATGCCCGTCATCAGGAGCATGGTGCTAGTTCGATTCCGCTCCGAGCCAACCAAACCCAGGGAAAAAAAACCACTCTCTGCAATCCAGTTGGGAACTCTCCAGCGCGTTCCCAGAACTCCAAGGAGAACTGCTCGCCAGCATTCTACGACATTCAAGATGAAACGGAAATCCTCAAGCAGCAACCGAATTCACCCATAAAAGTTGGAAGACCTTCGTGCATGATGGATGCCAGGAAACGAACTGGATGTGAGAAGTGCTGGGATCCGCACAGTAGACGTGAAGACGGGTCAAAATAAAATAGAACAAAACAAAATAAAATGAAATGAAATAAAATATAGGTGTTTCTAGAACAGAAAGTCCAAGTCATGATGGTATAGTTACATATCAGCTAGTTGTCGACACTCTTTCACATGATGGAACGCGCTAGAGGTTTGAGTAACTGACGCTGACCAATGAAAGTGACTTCAAAACAAGTAGATGAAGTGAAAGCGCAATTTGCCAGATTCAGCAATAGAAATTTCTGATTTCTATGCTGTTACGGAGAACTTTCCTCAAACCTGCAATGAACCACACTTTAATTGGTGACTGATGTATGACATCAAAGAAGAATCGTTCAGGTCTTTCTATGCGCAGACCTTTCAACAACAGTTTCCTTCTCAACAAACTGCTTAAGTTACTTATCCGTAACTGTAATTTTGTAATCCTGCTGAAGGCTATGATTAAGCTCGGAGTAAGACCTGCTAAACTTTGAAATATTTTCGTCTACTGTAGTAGCCCTTGTTCGCAATTTTCGGCTACGGTAGTAGCCCTTGTTCGCAATGTAATCCTCATGCGCGCTATTCTCACCTGATCCTAGCAATAGTTGCAGCAATATTCTGTTTTCGTCCTGATCATCGGTGTCGTAGTGATTCCTTAAACCGTTTTTGATCTGTTGTTAACAGTACTTTGTAAGGTAGTAGTGAAGAATTAATAAATCTTCTTCGTTGATAAGCTAATATGAGGTTTCTCTTACACAACTCATGTTAGCTCATCAATAGAAGATACGCATTGATTTGTCATCTCGAAGCTGAGGGAGAATCGATTTTTGAAATGTAATATGTTTGTGTCATTATTCAGAAGCTGTCGTCTCCATTGTCTGGAACAGGTATAGGAGACATCGATCAATCTTTAACCGCTACAAATGGGTCCTCCTCGACTTCAACGTAAGTTTCCTTGCTTTCATGAGTGAATGAAATAAGGATCACTAGTAGACGATATGCAGTAGTAGAGAAGATGGAGTTGCAGATTAAAGGAACATTGTTTTGCAGGTTAATAGCTATAGTCTGCGTTAAGAGGTAAGAAATGAACTCGAAGAGTGACAGTTTTAACATTTTGCAAAGGAAATCGATAAATCAATATCAAATGTGGTACAATGAGAGAATTACGTTCTTCTTTAGTGGCTATCATCCAGACTGTTTCGAGAACACTGGAAATCCGAATTAAGTACGTTTTCAGTAAGTCTTCTGATGGAACGAAGACAGTGCACGTCATGCCAACTAGTGATGTGAAGATCGAAAGGCCACCACGTTATGACGAACACTTCTGTGAGAATGCTGCCGTTGTCACCATCCTTCACTACGAGTTCAAGAATCGAGTACGTTCAAGCTTCCTACCTACCAATGCCATCAGCAATTAACCGTCAACGGGGTTGATTTGGGGAGCCCAAATCGGTAATGAGCCCAGTTAAGCTGAGGCTGTAGTCGAAATCACAATGTTAACTTTTTTATTTACCGCCTATTACAATTTTTTATGGCCGGGTATTGTGTGTAATACAACCCTAATAATGCTGAGATGTTTGCAAAACTCCGGACCGCAGGTGTCTGCGGTGAGGAACGAGCGTGCAATCACCCTTGCGGCCAACGCGTTCACCACCATACTATGCGAGTCCTTCGTTCTGCCTTTCTCTAAGCTAGTTTTCTTTCTTTTTAAGTTGAAGTTTGTTTTAGGTTATTCATGTGTGAAGTCATATAATTTCAGGTGGGTCAACCATTCAAATGTCACACGTTTAATTTATGGGTGGATGGTTTTTGTGGATCCGGAGACCCAACGAGATTTAGTCTTGGTTCTTTAGGTAACATTGGTCGACAGGCTGGTGTAATACCAGTGAGAGGTCAAATTGGTAAGTGTTTACACGCGCTTCGAAGTTTTTTTTTGTGGAAACTAGAGGAGTGCTCTTCTCTTTACAACGTATCAGCAGCATATGGCTCATATTGTCCACAGCTTAGTATTTTTCAGTTACAATGGAAAATCTGCTGTCGTATTTACCAAATTATTTTCCAGTTACACTTTGCGTCTTGCTTTAGCTTAAATGGAGCATATAGCAATCGTTCCTGTTGGATGGTCCTCTTGCTTAAGAAGTGCATTTCTTGATGTGATGTTTCGGAGGGAAACGAGGAATCAGTCCATTCATCACATTTGCTTGAAACCTTGTTAAGAGTGAATGACAGGAGACTAGCAAGCATGAGAGCCATGTGGGATTGCTATACGCACTGTGATTAGTTCCGCTGAAAAATGAAGAAGTGAAAACGAATTTTACGAGACGTTCAGAGATGAGTACTCCAAAAGTCTAGCAACCTTCATTGACTCTTCAGTAACAGCTGGTCTGCTACTATCACCATTTTTTTAATTTAAATGCTCACAAATGAACCAGCATGCTTTCCCATTTGTTGATGATTGGTATTTATTGTCTGACAGTGAGGTAGGGAATTAAATAGGGTTCTACGAGAAACAGTTGAGATTATAGATTTGAGAACAACTTTTGTAGAGTTTAGTGAATTCATCGGATTCTGCTCCGAAATAGGAATTGCTAGGAAGATTTATCATGGTATGAAATCAAGCTATACGACTGCAAGGCCATTTGTGCTTTTTTTGGATTGGCAGAGTAAGCTGCATCTTTGTCTAGCCACATTCAAAAAGAATGGTTGTTAGTAAAACTGCGAAACGCTGCCTTGTCTGTTTCAATAGTTTAACAATGATGCAAGCTGCCTGAACTTTCGGTGTAGACACCGAAGGGAAAAGTTCTTAAATTGTTCCAATAGTAACCACAAAAGCTGCGATTTCTGCAGTAGTTGGAATTTTTTTTGACAGGATTTTTAAAGCATAAAGGATAATAAAGGATAAATCTCTCGGCGTTGATTCATACCTGAGGAATGCGCAATGCGTTGTACTTCATTAAGTATTGTCTGAGGTGATCGAATGCATATCTGGCCTTTATAATGACTCGCGGAGGCGTACCGATGTATTGGGTCAGTGCTTCTATCCTTCCAGACAAGTTTGGTAGCAATCCGCCGACCCCAAAGGGAGGGAGGGCTTGGTGGGCTTGGGGCGCAGTGGTCGGCCCCAGTTGTATCACAGGGCACCTCCGACCACTGCGCTACACGTGCTCTTTTTAAAGAGTAAATGGAGGGGAAATTTTCAACTTAATGCGGGAAAAATATATTGGGAAAACATGAAGCGCATCCAAAGAAATTAAATAAAAGCCGTCAATTGTTCAAAGTTCCTTGTATGGGCATCACATATGAATCACCTTTCTAACGTATTAAAGGCTCCTGTGAAAGGAAATCCGAGATCTCGAGAACCTGTTTTCGTGGATTTTTTCTTTCGGAAGTCGCTAAATGTGATTCATGGATAAGTGTTGTCTTAGAAGCATTTGTTGCTGCTGTTTAAGATTCTTTCTTGTGGGAATTTCTTGAAGCATTAAATTCGCTTTCATTTACTTAACACTGCGTTAACGTTTTTTTTTTCTTTTTTTAGGAAAAGGTATGCAAATGCGGTATGACGAAGGGCGAACATCGATAATTTGTTTGGGAGAATCGCCTTTGTTTGTACAAGCTCCGCTTCATGCTACTCGCTCGAATGATGACACAGCTACAGTTTATCGCTTAGCTGGGGTCGCTGAATGCGAGGATGTAGACAGTAAGCTTTTTCTTTATTTTTGGAAAATTTGAATTTTCTTAATGGTTTTACGAGTTTGAGGGTTTCATAAGTTGTTCGAAGAACATGTTTAATATTCTCAGGAACAGTAGTAAGCATATGTGCAAACCACCATGTTAATGGATCGTTTGTGACTGAAGTGAACTTTTAGATTGGTTACTTTTCCCTAAAAATCCGACTATTGCATAGTTTATTCTATGAGTGACCCGTCTCAACGAATGGTATGGACCCCATCTTTCATTCGTTTCTTTTCCGCATAATCGGTGTCTGTGACGGTGGTCTATTTCAAGAGAGGCGAGATTTGCGAGGTACATTCTGTGGTTCCTTAATCGTTCCCATCTGCGAATGGGGTGGGGTAATGTGGGCCACGAACACATCAGCCCATCGCATAGGTGGCTTTCCGATATGGTGCTTTGATCCTATTTTATTCACTCTACAGTTGTTTTCGTCCATCTGTCATCTTTCTTCTTATTACATGAGCGGTCCCGGCCGTTTTCTGTATTGATGTATATTCTCTCAGATCTTAAAGATGGGTTACTTTCTGGAGATCCGAGCTACGTATTCCAGCTACACTTACATGCGGGTTAAATTTCAGAATACGTCGTTCAAACTCGCTTTAGGTGGTGAGCAGACTTTTTTTCGTCGTTGAATTATCAACTCAAGTTCCTTCTGCTCCATAACTGAGCGTGGAGAGGGGCGTTGATGAAAGAGGTGAGCACGGAGTTTGACGTTCGTTAGTTGGTGAGTGGCATCTGTTGGACGCTCAAACGCAGCTTTTACTGTTTTCATTCTTCCGTCTAATTCCTCTTTCATATTTTTTTCTTGCTGTTTCGACTCTCAACTTTGAGTAGGAAGACCAAGCGAATGATTCGTCGCCGAAAACACACCTCCCTCTGATTCACATCGTAATGAGGACCTGGATACGCCCTTGCAAGGTTACGTCAGGACCAAGTTGCACGACCAACAATAGGCCAACCTCAGTACTCCGCACACTGGGTGCTCACATCAGGCAGTGAGACGACCGGTGAAAGGCCAGAAAATCTCGGGTTACGCAGGACGTCATTGGAACCGGATCCGACGAACACACGCACGACACGCTATGGAGATTATTTTTTATTATGCATGTATAATACCAGAACACTCTCCACAGACGCCGATCTTCACGAACTTCTTGTAGCTACAGATCGAATTAAATTTCATGTGATCGTATTACAAGAAACAAAAGTCAAGAAGGCCTACATACGCCAACTAAACAACGGAACCCTTTTAGTCCGCGGAGAAAACGTCCCATTACGAAATGTCGGTGATCTAGGCTTTGTCGTCCACCCGTCCATTGTCCATCTCGTGGACTGATACGTGACTCTTCCCCCTCGCATATCCGTCCTTCGTCTTCAGCTGTCGCATCATAAGAAGATCACTATCATCAACTGCTACTCACCAACCGACGCAGCTAGTAAGTATGAATTAAATGCGTTCTACTATCAGTTGGAGGAAGTCATCCGCAACGATGAAGTATATAAGAAATTTGTTGTTGGAGACTTCAACGCCAAAACAGGAAAGGCCAACGAGAGCGAATACAGGATCGGAAATTATAGATTAGGAGAAAGAAATGAGAATGGGAACCGTCTCGCAGAACTCTTGTCAGCAGCACGTCTCTTCCATGGAAACTCGTTTTTCCAGAAGAAAGAAAGCCGCCGCTGGGCTCTCCCAACGGCATGACTCATGCGGAGATCGACGATATTCTGACAAATAGAAGATTGGGCCTACTTGACACATCGGTAGTCCCGTCATTCTGTGCTGGTTCCGATCACCGCCTTCTTCGCGCAAAGATTCGATTCAGCCGCAAGCTGGAAAAGAACTCTCTTCATCGACCACGAGGAAAAAGTCTAGCTGTATACGACGAAAACATTCTGAACGAAGTCCTGTCCAAACGTGACTAGGAGATTAAAGAAAACCCGACCGAAGACTACGAGCTACTTGTCGAAGGACTGAAAAGCTGAGCTGAATTCGCCTCAGTTCCTCAAGCAAGAGAATAAGATCGTATCTCCATCACTACTGAGGAGTTGCTCGAAAAGAGAAGGAAACTTGAGCTTGATCCTACTGCAACACGTTTAACATGGCTAGTAATAAATGCGAGCTGCCGAAGAGCTTTACAGGGATTTCTACAATGGTACAAGCAGAAGAAAATACTGAAAGCAGCAGAGAAAAGAAGTAGTTTGAAAAAGTGCCGTCGGGACTTGCGTGATTATAATGTTCTGCTGTCAGTTCTGATGAACGAAGATGGGATCGTCAAAACTTCCCGCCGTGGTACGGAATTAATATCGGTAACGTTCTACATCAACCTTTTCCGTTCAACAATCACCATCCCGGGCTCTGATATCCCCGCTGCAGAAAAGCTACCTTGAATTCTTCCGTCGGAGGTTCGAGTTGCGATAGAAAGCATGAAAAGAGGCACAGTTCTAGGATCCGATAACACCACTGCCGATTTCGTTCGAGCTGGAGGCCACAATTTACATGTACTTCTAGCAAATCATATGATAGGCTACCTTCAAAGGGAGAAAATCCCAGACCAGTGGATTACGTCGCGCACGATTATCCTACTCAAGAAAGGAGACCGAAGGGGTCTTCGTAACTATCGTCCCATATGCTTGTTAAGTGTACTCTCTTCACGAAGATTATCCTTTCGCGCATATCAAGGACATTGGGTGAGGCGCAACCAGTCGAGCAAGTAGGATTTCGAAAAGGATTTTGCTGCATGGACCACATCCAAACCGTGTCCAGGGTCATCGGAGTTTGTCGGGAATACCACTTGCCTCTAGTCCTAACCTTTGTCAACTATGAGAAAGCGCTTGACAGTGTCGAAACGAATGCAATCATATTAGCGCTCGTCGACCAAGGAGTGGAATCGTCCTATATAAGGACTCTGTCCGACTATTATCGGAACTGCACTACGAAAATACAGCTTTTCCATCAACCTCTTACAATACCTATAAGAAAAGGGATTCGACAGGGCAACACAATATCGCCAAAGTTGTTCACTTCCGCACAGCAGTGGATAATGAAGTCACTCGATTGGGATGAGAAAGGCATGCGTATTGACGGAAAATTCCTATCAAACCTTCGTTTTGC